AATAAATAAATAAATAAATAAAGATTTGTAGGTCACCTCAAATATCAACTATAATTGAAAAATAAAAATAAAGGATTTGTAGGTCATGGCCAGGAGTCTGTACTGAGCACAAGTAATACTAAAAGTTTTAGGTGTGAGTAGATTTACATTCAAACTGCCACGTGAGGACAACTGGAGACCATCTGGAGGCAGGGGAGGCCAGGCAAGAAGCTGTGGCAGTCGACCCAGGAAGGGGGAAGAAGCTGAGAAGCAGCAGTAGCCATGTGACTTAGAGGGTTTTGATGCTGCTGGACCAGTGGTCAGACTGGGAAGAGGAGGGTTGTTTTTGTTTTTTTTTAACAGCAGCAAAAGAATAGCTTTATTGGGAGAGTAAAGCAACAGTACACTGCCAGGTGTGGAAGCGGGCCCGAGCAAGAGAAGGGTGGCTCAAGGACCTTGATATTCACTTTTAAAGGATCACTATATATGGAAAATATAGTAACCAGAGTTGGGGGACAGACAAGGATATAAGCAGGGGGCCAAGTTAAATTATTGTAGTACCCAGAGGAGAGGCAGGTGACTTAGAGCATAGCAGTGGAAATGGTATTTGTGCAGTGACTACCCCTCATTTTTTGGCTGCATTTGGCTCCTTGTCTACTTTTTTCCGAGGCCCTGATCAACTGGGGAGCAGATGTGTTTGTGTCAATGTCCACCACCCCCACCAGCCCAGGAGCCCAAGGATGGGAGCCAGGCTTAGTTGAGCTCCAGCGCTGCTCAGCACAGGGTGGGTGTGGCCACGCTGAGCCTCCGAGGGTGAATCAATGAACCAGTGAAGGAATGGAGGAGAGCCATCCCCACTGCAGCCTTGCATCTGAAAGCACATGGATATCAGCAACCAGAAATGAGTGAGAAGGAGGAAGATGGGGTAGATGGCAGGTGGTTTTATGGAATGAAATGGGGTAAAATGACAGCAGTTACAAGGAATCAGGGCAAAGCGTAGCAACTACCAGGATCATCCCAATTTGGTGTCCGTGTGGGTGGGTCTCTCTAGTCAGCCCTCAGATATCTGCCCTAAGACTAGCACCACCAAAGCAGGAAGCCATAGGCAGAGAGTGCAGTTGCCAATGGTCAAGCAACCTGGAGGGGAAATACCCTCTGGAGAAGCAGAAAAATCAAGGAGGAGGAGAAAGCCTCACAAATGAAACTGGCCCTGAAAAGAATTTGAAGTAGGCCAGGTAGGAGCCAGGGTCCTGCCCTGCCTGAGGGCTCAAGCTCAGAAACATCTTCCACAGAAAGCAGTGGAGTTAGGGCTGGGGCCAGGGAGGAGTGCGGGGACTCTGCTAGCAAGGCCAAGAAGCTCCCAGTCTGTCACAGGCGAGCCACCCATCAGGCAATGCTGTGCACCGAGAGGTGACGTGGCAGACTGAGCTGAGACAGCTCACTTGCTTCTCAACTGTTAATTCCCAAACCACCTCTCTGCCCCTGGACCACTGCCCTAGCTCAGACCTCAGGCCCTCTCCCCCAGATGATGGAACAACCTCTTTATACCTCTCCAGCCTCTGTCCCTTCAATCTACTCTCCTCACTGCATCCCTGTGATCCTTCAGGAGCTCCCTATTGTCTTGAGACAGGATTCAAGATCCTGAACTGGGCCCCCAAGTCCACCCTGATCTGGCCTTACCTATTTCTCTGCTGCTTCTCCTGTGCCCACTCAACATGCCTGCATCTACCAAGCTCATCCTGGTCTTTGGGCATACTGTTCCTTCTCCCTAGGATGTCCTCATCCCCTATCTCAGCCCCTGGGAAATATAAACTCAACAGAGGTCCTCCTCCTTCAGGAAGCTTGCCCAGAACAATCCAGTCCTTGGCCAGCCCTGTGAGCATCCTCTACCAGACTGTCTTGTCTGGTGCTCACCTCCCCAGGCCTGTGGGCTCCTCTCTTCAACATCACCAGCTCAGGGTCAGCACTCCAGACTCCCTGCTACCCTGTGCTAGCCACTGAGGACAAAGATGTATAACATGGTCCCTGCTAGCAAGGAGAGCCAGTCTGCTAAGGGAGGCAGCACCCTCACCGCAGATGCCCACCGCATGCGGCAGATGGAGACGGAGGGGGAAACTGGCCATCTACTCCAGAGCTCAAGGGAAGAAGGGAAGGCCTTTTAGAGAAAGAGGGATCTGAGCTAGGCCTCAAAGAATTTGATAGTAGAGGAGCAGAAAGGGTATCTCGGTAGAGGGAAGGAACAGAAGAAGGAAGAAAAGAAAGGACAATGTCCAGCAAAGTAGGGCTTAGCCTACGAGGGGGGAGGGGAAAGGTAAAGTGTTGGGGCTGCAATATCCACTCGAAGAAGGCTTGTGTTCATCTTTTGTGTGATGAAAAGGAACTAGGGGGTGTGGGAGCAGGAAACTGACATGGCTGGAGTCAGGCTCTAGAAGGTCAAGTCTCCAACCCCCAGTGCCCTAACAATGACGGCCAGAAAGTACACAGACTAGAAACCATTTCTTGATTGTTAGTGGGGCTTTGCCCAGTTATATCCACTGGCTGCCACATGCTGGGGATGGTCAGGGCAGAGACCAGGCATCAGGGCAGGAAAGAGGGAGCAAGGTCCAGACTTGGGGAATCTGGGCTTCTTGTAGAGGGGAGGGGGATAGGGGACATGGAAGCCTCTGCCCCTCCGGCTAAACAGTTCTTCTCAGGGTGGCAGCTGTGTCCTGACTAGGCTGGGCACAGACTGAGCGGGTCTCAGGTCCTCCGGAGCCAGCCAGGTGGCTGGGCAGGCAGCAGTCAGAATGGCTGCTTTTCAGGGGTCATCAGTCGCTCTACCTCCCGCATGAACCTCAGACACAACTCGTCTTGCCACGGCAGAGTCACACACTGCACGGCCACAGGCAGCCCCAAGCTCTTCTTCATGGCCTGTAGGGAACACAGGGATCAGGATGGGAGGCAGTGAGGGAGGATCCCACCCTGGGCCAGGAAGCACCCCAGCTGGAGAGGAGGGGCCACAGAGCAGAGCCAGGCCAAAGTCTTTAAGGGTCTTGCATTGTTAAGGATGGGCAAAGACTACATGGATTTATATTGTTTCCTCCACAGCAGCTAGGGTATGGGTATGGGTGAGTCCAGGGGAAGGGGGACATGGAGCTGGCCAGGCCGGGCCCCATGGCCTTACCTTCTGCAGCACCTTGTCCCAGATATCCCCAAAGTAACCCCTGTAGTGTTCCATCTGGGCCTCGTCCTCAGCGGTCACTGTGGTGACAGGCACCACCCCCGCTGGGAAGTCCAGGCAGTTGTAGAGCATAGTGTAACTGACAGCTCCTAAAACATAGCACAAGTGGCTAGAGTAGGCCAGGTAACCTTCAGTGTCAACTGTCCTGTCTGTGCCTCAGTCTTCCACCCTATGAAATGGCACCCAGCCTCCACAGACAAGGGCTGAGACTTCAGTGAGTGATGAAGCCCAGGAATTTAGATCCAGGGCAGGCTGGAGAGCCTGCTGATGCTTACTCGGTGCCCTTGCCATCTGGCTTCCCCAACTTGGAATGTTGTTCTTATTTTCTTGGCTTACCTAAATCTTACCTGGACTTTAAACGCCACCTCCCAAAACCACGGACTATGTAACTCAAGATCTCCAGCTTGGATAATGTGGAGGACAGGGAGTTCATTCCCTCCCAGGGCATCCCATGTGACTCCCATCTCTCCAGCCAACCAAACTGTAAGCCCCCCAAAAGCCAGGCCCTCCCCCAGGGCTCCTCTTCTACGACCCAGCCACCCTGCTAGGCACAGGGCTGACTTTGTAGAGAAGGGACAGGTGGGAGTGTCAGAGGCATGATGTAGCAGCAGACCTCACCTGTAGCCTTGCCTGGATCACTCAAGTTCATAGCAGGGCCTAGCATGGGAGTGAGCAGCACATCCAGGTCCAGTGCTCTCCACTGGGCAATCACAGAGTTGCGGTACACCTAGGGAGGGTACCAGCACAGCAGGTGACACACTCAGACTCAGCTCATCATATGGAATCGCCAGTGCAGGCACTGTGGTTGGGATGGCTCTGGCCCCAGCACCTGCCCCAGGATCCTAACTGAGCCACACTGTGATGGAGGTCCTTGGGGCACAGAGGCCTGGCTGCATTCAGGGGGCGTTAATTTCTCTACCTCTTTCATTAACTGTAGACATCATTTTTCCTGCCACATAGTGCTCAACCACAGGTGGCACCAAAGGAGCAAAGAAGCATCCAGGATAGGAGACCCAGGCTGACCCAGCCCCCAAGGATGTGCATTTGGACAAAGTGAGGGTCAGAGAGCAGGCCCCAAGCAGGTTAGTCCAGGGTATGAAAGGGGAAATGACAGGCCACTCCAGGAGACCAGGGGGACCAGGGGCCAAGAGACCCCACTGGCAGGTACCCTGTCCACCCCCACCCCCACCCACCCTACTCTAGTCTACAGGCTGGCCTCACCTCGATTTCATGCTGTAGTTCCCAGATCTTTCCAGCAGGCCTGGGCAGAGAAAATGAAGTCATGGGCCATGATGGTCACAGCCACAGAGATTAGCAACATCAAACCCCTATCTTAACATCTTCCAGATCATATCCTGTAGGGACCCTTCTCAACTCTATGAAAGCTCTGAGAGGGAAGTGCTACAGGGCAGAAGCTCAAATCCCTACTGTCCTGCTCAGAAGATCAGGCCCAAAGAGGGACTTAGGCTGGGTCCTTTAGTGACTCTACAGCAGAGCCAGAACCAGACCAGGCTCGACTCCTAGTTCTCCTTAGGACACAGGACAGCCAGAGCTGTCAAAGGTCCTAAATGCATGGTGGTGAAAGAAGGAGGAAGTCCATAGGAGCCATTAAGGGTCAGGAAAGACCCAGTGCAGCTTAGTTCAGTTCAGACCTCTAAGAGCATTCTCTCTCACAGGGTTCCCAGTATCCCTCTCTCCTCTGCCCCATGCCAATTCCTTCCTGGTCCGTTCTACCCTTCTCCTTTCTATCCTCTCTCATCCGTTCTCTCCCTCAGTCCCTTGCTCTCCAGCCAGACCTCGACCTTACTAAAACAACTTTAAAGTCCCATCTGAAGGCCACAGAGGGACTGTGTAATAGACTCTGTAACTAACTCAAGATCTCCAACTTGAATAGTGTTGGGAACAGGGAGCTCCTGTCCTCAGCGCTATTCAAGTTGGAGATCTTGAGTTAGAGTTGCCACGTTGGCGGGGCCGCTTCCAGGCTCAGAAGCTACTTCCCACATCTTTTCCTGTCAGAAACCACTTAAACCCAGGTCAAGAAGGGGACAGGCATCTGGGCATGGGAAATATTCTTACCGAGACCTCATGTTGCTAAGAAAGGCTGACAACCTTGGGAGCTGCAAAAAGACAAGACAGAGTCAGTGACTCAGCTTTGGGCCAAGGGCTGACAACAATCTTCTTCAGGCCAAGCTATCCGTGCCTCTTCCCTCTGTCCCTGCCCCCAGGTCTCAGGTTGGCACCCCTTTCAGCATGCAGGCTGGCTCAAGATTATAGGGCACGGGAGGAGGAGAGGAATCTGGGTGGGGGCTGGACAGAAGAGGAGCCCATGCCTGCCCAAACCAAGAGAGGCTAAGGAGAAGGGAGAAGAACCCCACAGGCTGCTTCCCACCCACCCCACCCCTTCCATGCCTTGTGCCCTAACCAGAGGCTTC